ATATGTTAAAATAATATTTTTTATATTAGTATATTTAAAAATATAAAAAAATTCAAAAATTAATAAAATAGAATTTAATCCACGATACCAAACAGCACTTTTAATCTTCCACCTTCTAAACACGACCACATGCCTTTTCTCTCGCATGATCAACAGAATATTTCATAAAAAAGATTCAAAAAACATTGTATTGAATCTCAAAAACTATACGAGAAACAGGGATGGCCAAGAATGTTCAAAGGTTGCACCATGAAATTATCAAGGTATTCAAAGGAAACACCAAAAGAGCCATTTGAATCACATGTTCTAGCTTTAACTACATAATTTCAAGAATTCAAGGTTACTATATCGATCTAGCACCCAGAAGAGAGCAAGAAATCTTGATCTAGTCGCAACCAAGATCTGTTTTGATGGATCTATTCTATCAGTATAATCAATAATGAAGTTCCCTTCTTTAAAAAGCCTACACACAGGGTGAGAACGAAGAGTTGTAGTAGTGCTACGTACCTGCAATTGCCTGCGTTTCTTGAGCTTGGAGCTTCCACTGGAGCAATCAAAGAAATCAGACAAGTGATCAAGAGCACCCATTTCTCCTTAACTTCTCTCGATTCGTAAGAACGACAAGGATTTGAAAGACAGAAATATCTCAAGAGGCTTCAATAAGTTAGGCAATAAATGACAGACAGACACGGGTCAGTGAAGATGAAGTCCCCCGTTTAAATAAGCAACCTCGCGAAGGGACTGTTCCTTCAGAGAAATGAATCGTTGGATCTTTCTCTTTTTTGGTGTCAGTGAGCTTGTTATTGACACGTGTTCATCTACTATTTGTTTTCTGTGGATTCTATAATGCCGTTGCTATCCTTGCACCGACCCCAGGTGGGCCCCTTTGAATTTTGGCGCGAGTTAAGAGGGTGGGCCCCTTTGAATTCTGGCGCGAGTTGAGAGGATGGGCCCCACAAACAGCCCAAAAACCTGAAAGACGGTTATGGTTAGTGTGCAACTGTGCACTGTATTCCATTTTTTCAGGTAAGGGTGGGACCAGAGGTTTAATTCTGGTCCGTCCAGAGGGTGTGGGTGGGTCGAGTGAGTGATGGGTCTCTTGTAGTGATGGGTTTGGTAACGGTTTTATTTTGATCATACTTTCCGTTCCACCCCTCAAAGCACATCAAATTAACTGTTTTTATGCTT